GGACAGACAGAGTTCCCCCAACCCCAGGCAACCCCCGAGTGGAATAGTGACTCAAGACAACATGCTACGGGATTAAAATTGGCCACAACTTTATTGAGTTTCAGATGTAGGGAGACCTTGGCTCAGGCATTGGGCGTTTATCCTTCCCAGTCCCCAGCCGGGGATCTGGGAGACATCAGAGTTATCCAGAATGTGTGGGGATTGGGCTGGCTCTGGGGAACATATGTTTAAGCAGAGAGCCTGCCCCCCGTTTCACCGCCGTCACAGGGGAGAACAACGAGAACCTCTCGGCGTATGGCCAATGCCTCCCCTCAAGACCCCTTTAACGGGGAACCCTGGGATCACTGCCGCAAAGGGGCCGTGGGTCACTGCTTCAAACCCCCCCCCCCATTTAGGGAAGCCCAAGGCCTGAAACCGCCAAAGCTGTGACGTTTTGCTATGGGAAAGGCAAAACCTGCCAATGCAGGAAAATTCCTTTCCGGCCCTTCAACAACAACCATGACATAGCAGCGCCTGCGTACCTGTGAAGAAGAGGTTAACCTGCAAAAGAAGGCTTAACTGAGCGAGGGCAGGGTGGGAGAAGCTCTGGAGCGAACTCACGCTTTGCAGGTAAGATTCACCTGTTGTGTGGGCAGGGCGGTCCCTCCCCCTACCTGGCCAATCCCCTGGCAACGCCTCCCCAGGCGGGATTGGATGATTGGCTGAGGTAGGTGGAGACCTCCAGGTATCCAGCCTGGGGAGGGCGAAGCCAGTCCGTACTACTGGGAGCCGCACTGGGATCCAGGGGGCTGCGCTTGACCACGCAAAGGGCACCCCCCATTTGATGTGGGGAGCCGTCATTACCCCCATGCCAACTCTACAGAAGTCTCTTGGTGAATAGGAGGCATTGCTGGACTCCTCCCAGGGAGAAAATAGTGTGGACTGTTGTCTTGTGTTGTCTTGTAGCCTAGGGTCTACACCCATCTGGTGGGATTCAGAGCAACCCCCTTTCCCCCTGGTGGCAGCCTTTGGGTTCCCACTTCAACCACTGTGTAAAGTTGATTTGTTTCTTCCCGCTGTTCTTCACTCACTCCTCTTTCCCTGACAGGGGGACACGGTTTTGTGGTTTGCCTCAGGTGCCCAAGTGTCTTGAGCTGGCCCCGCATGTAGGTATAGATACGTTATAAAACGTAAACATGTGTGAGTGCTGCTATATACACCCGGTGTGTAAATATGTGCCAGTGTTTCCCCTTTAATAGCCTGGCTCTCCAAAGCATTCTGCCTCCCATTCAACACACTCAGTGGAACGATGAAATACTGCAGCACTTGAGTCCTAAGTATTTAATGGCTATAACGAATTCTTATATCAACATTACTCCAGGCATGTTAAATACAATAGTTAGATTCATAGTTGGTGTGACTTCATTAAAGCCCATGATCTTGCACTTGGGATTTGTGCAGAGATAACTAGCTTTGGGAAGATATAACTTATATAAAATACAATATACAGCATAATCACATATTCTGTATTTGCACAGCACGGCAGTTACAGTCACTCTGGGAACACTAGCTTGGAATTTACTGATTTTTGTATGTTTATTTAATTCCCTGGCCTGTAGAAGAGTCTTGCCATTGACTTTTACGTTGAATTAGCAATATCACTGAGTATGTGTATTGCTTTGTTTGTCCAGAAGTTCTTTACACCCTTCAAAATTGCACCTCACCATTTTCAATAAATTGTGCAAGGTGCTAAATTATCACTTCATCTGACTGACTTTCTTACAGTGCAGATTTTATGCATTTCTACTCAAACGTATGCCCCATTTAGAGCAGCGGGGCTTACTCCCAAGTAAGTGTTTGCAGGATAGCAGCTTTAAGTGTGCCTGACATTAAAGGGTGGGGCTTTTTTTGATAGCCTAATTACATTAAAAGGCATGACTTAAAGGGTGTTTTAGCTCATACCCTCCAACATTTCTCTGGTGACAATAAGGGCATCTATCATCATTATCATCATCATCATCATCATCCTATTTTTACCCCAACCACCTGACTTTGTTGCCTCAACCACTCTAGGCAACTTCCAACATATATAAAAACATAATAAAGGATTAAACGTTAAAAACGTTCCCTATACAGGGCTGCCTTCAGATGGCTGGAGGGTCAAATAACTCCATACCCTCCAACATTTCTCGGATGAAAATAGGGACATCCTAAGGAAAAGCGGGACATACTGGGATCACATCAGAAACTGGGATGGCTTCTGCAAATCTGGGACTGTCCCTGGAAAACAGGGACACCTGGAGGGATGTGTTAGCTGTCAGTGTAATATTTCACCTCCCTTTCCATCAACTCAGGTTCCCCGTACTGCTTCAGAACACAAATCTAACTCACGCCACCCGAAAGTGATGTTGCCCACCTGTGACTTCAGACACACAGGACATATGTTTGACCCCCCAAACCAGCAGCAGTGGCCTATGGGGTTGCTACCTTTGTTCTAACGCGGCTCCTGTGCCTTTCCAGAGTGCAGGGTGGACAACAGCTAGCTAGCTGCTGATGGTCAAGCGTAGCAAACGCAGCGTTGCGCCAAGGCAGTAGAATTGCCCTGCTTCCTTGTTATGTAAACTCCTCTCGCACTGCAAGGAGCAGCAGGCCTCTTGCCATAGAGCTCCATTTGCATATATTTCTGTGTGCTGATTGACACATTTGCTAAACATAAGGTCTCAGCAGCTACTTAACTCAATAGCTTGGAACAGCTTGTAGAACACAAACACCTTATTTAGGGCAATCTTGCGAGCTGCTGCCAAGAACTCCCAGGGACCAGATGATTCAGATGGGAATTGCTCTGTGTGTGTGTTTCTTTTCTGCTATTGGGTGATGGGCTTGGCTGCAGTCCTGGCTTTATTTTGCCATACGGTTCACGTCCCTCTGAGGAAGGTCTTTTCAGATGGTGTGGGCTGGAATCTCTCTGTGGGTGAACTGGTTACCTATTCCTAGAGGGAGAAAAAGGAACAGGTGGATTTGAGCCTGTCTCTGTACTACGCAGTCCATAAAATGAGTTCCAAAGGATTCACAGAAAACAATTTTAAGGGCAGCAGGAGAATCGCCATTAACAAAGTGGGGCAGCCAAATACCAGTGAAGTCCTGGTCCAACATTTTCACCACCCTTGGTTCTTAATTTTCCATTTACACTCCTCTCATTGACTATACAAGCAAACCAAGTTTGTAGTTTAGCCTTGTTGTCACTGTTTAAGATGGCCTAGGTAACTTATTGCAAGGCAGTCATGATTTGACCTAGTGCAGTGCTCATTCAATGACATCACATTTTGGGCTTCTTGTGGATTATGGGTAGCTGACTCCGTATACTAATTCCATTGGAGCCTGCATTGTATTAACGGTAGGCTTAGTCCTCCATCAGAGTGTAGATGTAGCGCTATTCCCTTTAGAGCTCACCTGGTTAATTTAGTTTATCCCCCAGAGTGCCTCAGCCCATGCATATATTACCCTAACCACAATTTCAATCCACTCCATACTTAGAATGTTTTTGTCCCTGTGGTACTACTAAGTTTGGTATCTCGGTGTTAATCTAGTGATAATTGGTCACCAAGCGGCATGATCCTATATAGAAATGGAAATTGCAGCAAAACATATTGAAATGCAGTTTCCAAGAGGAGACGACTCAGAGGTACAAACACTTTTGTTTATAGAACGAAGAGATTCCATGGGCAGTGCCAATGATGAATATTGTAATATCATGTGTTGTTGCACGCAGTTTGCCTATAAATAACTGAAGAGAGATCCTTGCACTGTATTAGGAACAGCCTTACCGTAAAATGTCAGTCTGGGTTAATTTACTATGAAGGGTATTATTATTATTACAGTGGTGCCCCGCAAGACGAAATTAATTCGTTCCGCAAGTTTTGCCGTCTAGCGAATTTTTCGTCTTGCGAATTATTATTTAGACAAAGGAAACAAAGTCGCGAGACGTTTTCGTCTTGCAAAGCAAGCCCATAGGGAAATTCGTCTTGCGAGGCAACTCGCAAACGGAAAAACCTTTCGTCTAGCGAGTTTTTTGTCTTGCGAGGCATTCGTCTTGCGAGGTACCACTGTATTATTATTATTATTATTGGGGGTTGTGGGGTAGGATGCGTCAGCTCAATGGTAGAACTCATACTTTATGTGCAAACGATCCCAGATCAAATCTCCAGCATCTCTAGGTAGACCTGGGTAAAGACTCCTGCCTGCAATCCTGTTGAGCCATGGCCGGTTTGCATAGACTGAGAGTGGCTCACCTGTGGTTCTCTAGACCTTAGAATCATACAATGTTATGGTTGGAAGGAACTCCAAGGGTCATCTAGTCCAACACCCTACAATGCAGGAATCTTATCTAAAGCATCCATGGCAGATGGCCATCCAACCTCTGCTTAAAAACCTCCAAGGAAGGAGAGTCCACAGCCTCCCGAGCGAGACCGGCCCGCTGTCGAACAGCTCTTACTGTCAGAAAGCTTTTCCTGATGTTTAGTCGGAATCTCCTTTGTCCCTTTGAAGCCACTGGTCCGAGTCCTACCCTCCAGAGCAGGAGAAAACAAGCTTGTTCCCTCTTCCACGTGACAGCCCTTGAGATATTTGAAGATGGCTATCATATCTTCTCTTTTCCAGGCTAAACATACCCAGCTCCTTCAACTGTTCCTCAAAAGGCTTGGCATTGTGAGACTCTAGTTCCCATCAGCCCTCACCATTGGCCATGCTGCCTGGGGGCTGATGGGAGTTGTAGTCCAACAACACCTGGATGGGCGCAGGTTAGCCACCCTGCTTTAGGTGATCCTGAGCTAGAAGGACCAGTGATCTTACTCGGTAGAAGACAGCTTCCAACCCCCCCCCCGTTGTATTTTATTGCTCCTTCGTGGTGTTTTGGTGCATTCAGTATGTTTTGCTTGTTTAACGTTTGCTGCTGTATCCAAGAGCTGTTGGACTTTGGTTAGTGTGCCATACTTGAACTGCCTCCCTTCTTGCCCCCTTCCCAGCTGTCAGAAATGACAGGAACAAAAAGAAGAAGGAGCCTTTAAAGCAAGAGTTTATGGAGAATTACGAAATGACGGCAGAGCTGGATGACCTCACAGAGAAAATCCGAAAATCTCACCAGGAAACCTTCCCTTCTCTCTGCCAGCTGGGCAAATACACTACGGTAAGAGACGTGTGTAATGAAGACTGGAGGGGTCTGGTGGGCTGTCGGAATCACAGAAGTTAATTGATCTGGAAGGGACCAGGAAGTATTTAATGCAGCCCCATGCAGTGAAGCAGAAGCCTTTTCATACCAAAAGCCTTTCTTTTTTTGTTGGTATGATCCAGGTTGTGTAGTGCTATGCATGAGAGCAGGAGGGAGCCACATACCAGGTGATGGGGCAAAAAAATATCCATTTAATAAAACAAAAATCTGAAGATTTTGAAATAATCAATGATAGCATAGAGGGAATCATTAAAACAGAGGCCTACCGAGAGTAGAAGAACCACAAGGTTCTTAGAGGACATGCAAGAGGAAAGTGAAGAGTGAGTTATAAATCCCTGCCGTGTAGAAAAAAGTCTGCTTATTCCTGCTAGGACTATCAAGAGAAATGAACACATTTTCCCTGATGGTGTTTGCTTTGTATTCCAAGACCAGTCTTCATATTATATTGGATAATATAGTAGCACCATACCATATTGATAACTTATTTTTGTTTTAACCCAGATTCTGCACACCACATAGATTTTAATATGAATTAGAAATAATAATGATGATAATAATTAATTGGACAGTTCCCTCATTTTAAATTTCTGAGGTATTTTCATGAGGAAAGATGGTATGTTTCATAAGCTTTATCTGGCATAGAAATCTGCACGCAATGTTTTGCTCCCTGTTGAACAAAAAATAGTGTGCTGTTGCTTTTGATAAGGTAGTCACCTCCCAAATTCGTGAGCTGCTTTGCGCTTGCAAACTGTCGTTTGCAAGAACAAATCAGGGTTTGCTGAGACCCCCCCTGATAGGCTGACTAGAGGAGGTCTGCATTCATTTCAGTGGCTCAGGCCTCTCCCAACCAAACCAAAACAGAAATTGTGCTCAATAGGTTAAACAGAATTGAGGAACAAAAAAATGTGGGTCCTCACCCCTCTGCAACTATATCAGTCTCTCCACAAATGTCTTGTTCTATATTCTTAGTTGGAGATGCAGCAGATTGCTGCAAAAAAAACCCCACCAAAGGGGATCAATTTGGATGAAAAATAAAAATAAATAAAATTTAAAAATGGCCATGTGTTTGGATTTTACAGCATGGCTGGGCTTTTCTGCTGATAAAAGTGTCACTAGGGGGCCTTACAGTATTACTCCACCATATGTCCTCTGTTGCAGCACTATGGGAAATGTGGTCCTTAAGCTGCATGCATGAACACTCTTGGAAAAGAACAACACTCGGAAATCATGCTGTTGTAAAACATTCAGCAAAACTCCACCGGTTTGATACTTCTCAGAACCCATGGAGAGCGAATCCTGGAATGTCCGCTTCTAACCTTCTTTTATATTAATTCCATATTTTATCTTTTGGCCTGCATATCAATGCTGACTCAGTTTTATATTTCCATATCGAGGGGAATGACTACAAATGTGCTTGTTTTTCCAAGTGGTGCTTTTTAGCAGCTCTGATTACTGAACAAAATGTTGTTGCAGTGCTTTCTGGTTTCAGCGTTCGTAAGATGAGGCACAGCCATTTTGGGTCCCTCTTGAACACGGCAAAGCAGTGCAATAAAACAGCAAGTGAACTTGGCGCTTTATCGACTAACCTCTTCTCTTCAGCTTGCATAATTGCCAAATCAGATTTGCATTTTGTTAAGGCTGCCGGGCATCCGCTCAAAAGCATCTCTGTCAAAACTTCCCTGGCTCAGGGATGGTGGGCGGAGGAGCATGATAAACCGAGCTCATAAGATCCCGGTCAAGATTTTGTTCACACTAGCTGATTTCATGCAACGTCTTCTTTCCAGATGGATACCCTATTGTAAAATGATTTCCTGCTCTAGGCTCTGCTCTTCGCTGCCATTTCCCTCCCCATGGAAGTGGATAAACTGCCTATTAAATTTAATTACAACCTGAATGGCTGCACATCTTGATATTATTCCCCACCCCCACCTACAGTATTTCACCGAGGTCCTTGAGGATGATCCAAAATAAATCTTAAGGATGCAGACTCACTGGTAGGAGGAGGAAATGTTTCCATGAGCAAAGCGGTGACTGTTAACCCCTTTATGCCGCAGAATGTCCTAGGGCAAGGCTCAGCATCAAAATTCATCTCTGCACAACATGCGTGGGAAAGGTTCCTGTTGGATTGTGCCTCCTAAAGGAAATGTTTTGTGGGGACATTTCCTTCTGCCTCCTGTTATTATCCTGCCCAAGCAAAAGCATTTCCTTCGCATGGTTACAGAGTGCCTTGTTTCTGTCAGCAAATGAGTCTAGGCTCAGCTGCTGGGAAGATGGTTGTGTGATCCTCTTCCTGTTTGTCTGACTCCTCCAGGACCTGGAATTTACCTATACCGTTCATCAGAACTTTTTCAGTTTCTCTGCCTCATTTTCAAGTTATCCCATTCATCAAGTTGGTACCAGTCTTTCTTCTTCAGGCCTTTGCACTCTCCTGTGCCAGTTCTTGTTGGAGAATGCCCAGATTCTAAACCCGTTTTAAATAGGCCTCGGACGTGGATCCAGCAGCAGCAAGTCTCGTGACCTTCCTAGCCTTTCAGTAGCCCCATTCAAGCCTTCGAAAGACGGCACGAAGGCTTTAAATGGGGAGGAGGAGGTACTTAACATGTCAACCCCTGTTCCAGTGTTCCCATGTTTCCTGGGTGTGTCTGTCCACCCAACTTTCCCAGAAGGTCAGCACACTTGTCAACACATTACTTGGCTGGAGAAGCGCATTGCAAATTTCAGAGTAGTGTGAATTTTGAAGGAAGATAGGGCTTCCGTTGCATATTGTTTCACAAACTGCAGATTAGGCAGAATCTCCTAGAAATGCAAACTGAACTGACCCTCTCCCCAATCCCTTCTTCTTGCAACCAGGAACCCTCAGCTGCTGGGCTCTCTTGCAGACATTCCTCTTTGTCCCACTTTCTTAGCAGCACTGTGCATGTGAAGGGTCATTTCCTGTTCTAAAACAATGTCATTTTCTTTTATGTCCACAGTGCTTAGGACAGGCCATTGATTGATTGATTGATGATTGATAAAACACAAGAAGGGTTTCTTCCAGTAGCAGGGGCACACTTGGGATATGTTTGATTCTACATTTTACAGGTGCAGGCAGCTTGAAGAGTCCAGGTGCATTGCAAATCTGTTCTTTATTTGAGGCTGGAAGAGCCTGAATCATTTTGAGATGCTCTAAAGCTAAACCAGGTGAAATCCGCTACATGGAATAGTGTTGCACGCATTAAGTAAACATCAAAACTTTCATTTTCTTGATAGGCAAATGTTTCACAACTGTTGAACTTGGTGCGCTGAGATAAAGAGATCACTCTCCAATACCATATGTGTTGGGGGTTTTTAATTCAGAGTTTTATAATTGTGTAAAAGATGGCTCATTAGTTTTTTATAACAGACGGCTCATCTGTTCATAACACTGATTTTTGACAGAGCGCTGAAACTCTTCCTGTGTATAGACAAGATAAACTATTTTGAACTAATTTGCTAAAACGATAGCATGTGAAAAGATCTCACATTGACTGCGTTTTGCATGTCATAGCAAGCCATGGTTTACCAGTTTGCTCCTGATTTGCCCCTCCCTGCTAGTGAGCAGGACCAACAAGCCGTGGCTGAGTGTTATGTCCAAGCTGATAGCTGTGGTTTGTTTTGCTCCAAATCTATGTATGTTCTTGGCTTACCAGTCGTGGTTTGTTTGATACCCAGTTTGAACCTAACACTGAGCCAAGTTTTCTTGCTTCTGCTTGCTAGCACAGGGCCAGGAAGCTGGTGTGCTCTGCGTATTCACAGCAGACTATTAACTATGACTTTTCATGACGCACGAGCACAGCCATGGTGCTGAAATTATGTGCCACCAGACATAGTCCTTTTCCTAGATATGGAAACCAGTGTTCCAGTTCCACTTATTCAAATCCCTGGTTATAAACATTGTATAATTAAAGGGAAAGAAAAATGGCAATGGTATTTGGAAAGGCTGAAAATTATTTTGCCTTATTGACAGATGGCAGCTTTCATTTTTGAATGATTACACCAAGAGCATTCCCAGCAGCAAATTTCACTGCAATTCAGATTGCTAATAGAAATTGCTTGTAGCAGGGTCTCTCCACCCTTCATTATTTATATGGATTCAGCTATGCTGCATAGAAATTGGCTGATCTTATGATTCCTTCTGTTCTTTCTAGAACTCTAGCGCTGACCATCGAGTTCGGCTGGACCTTGGGCTCTGGGACAAATTCAGCGAACTTGCGACCAAGTGCATTATTAAGATAGTGGAATTTGCAAAACGGCTGCCTGGTTTTACAAGTTTGACAATTGCAGACCAGATCACACTACTTAAAGCTGCATGCTTGGACATCTTGGTACGTATCTTCGCTTTTTGTGTGATTCACTTACATTTTGCTGTCATTTAGTGGTGGCTTAAACAACAGCAACACCCAGCCAATGGCCCAACCCACTGCTAAGCAACTCTTTCAGTTGTGATTTAGTTCAAAGGGACTTATATTGTGTATCCTTTGTAGGCTCCACTGAAATGACTTGAGAAGCAGCAATGTTTCCTTCCGAATTCTGTAATCCTTCACTTGACTGCAGCCCAACTATAGTGAGAAACTTGAATGACTGAAACCAAATTTTTCATGTTGCTGAAAGCAAACATGGGCACAAACAGTAGCCTTAACCTATGTGGTTTCTACTAAACTTAGGCTTGCAATATGTTTGTGGAGAGTTTAAGTGTTTGGGCAATAGATAGTTTAACCCTCAAAGCTGGATGGGTCTCAGGAAGATTTTCGTTTTTCAGGCGATGATCCTCACCTCTTCTAAGAACTAAACTTTGCCAATATCTTCAAATTTGCTGTTTTTTGTGTGCTTTATGCGGGTCACAGAACTTTTCTTACCAGAATTTGCATTAAGCTATTACAAAATTGTGATGTATTTTCTTGAAGTGTAAGAGCACACACACAGCCTTGATATTAAATCTGGATTTGTTATCCTCAAAGAAGTGCTATGAGGAAGACTTCAGAAGAGTGGCGGTCTACAAATGTCAATTTCTTTAAGATAACATCATGCAAAGAGAATAAACAATAGTTTGCTAACTAGTCTATTTGTTTATTTATTTAGGCATGAATATGCCACCCATTAATCCATTATTTTTTAAATAAATAAACTTAGTAGAACTATCCATATAAAACCAACACAAGTAGGATAAAAACTGTACTAAAATCCAGTTTAAAATAATGTGTGCTGAGTACAAAAATACACTGAAACATAATTGTAAAAGACCTGGGAGATTAAAAAGGTAATCGCTTGGCCCTAAACCTCTGTGTCCACAAGGAATGTACCACAACGGAAAACACTCTTTTCGTACTGGGTACCTGCCTCACTTCTTTAGACAGGGAAACATGGTGACGGGCCTCTGATGAATATCTTAAGGTCTGGGTAGGTCTTCAGGAAGAGGTTGGTAACCTGCGCCAAAGCCATTTAGGACTAGCATATTGAACTGGGCCTGGAGATAGACAGGAAGCTAGCACAGATGACAAAGCGCTGGTGTTGTATGTTCATATCTTCCAGTCCCCATTAATGATCTTGCTGTCCTTTTCGGGGGCCACCTGGAGCTTACAAAGCATTTCCAAGGGTAACTCCTCACAGTAATCTATCCAGGAGCTCACCTGGACAACTATGACAAGGTTATCTCTGCCCAGATAGGGTTGTAGCCTGGATTTTGGAGGACACCCCCCCCCCCCGGATAAATGCATTTTCCTTTAGGGTCAGTCCAGCTCCACAAAAGTCTGGGCTTGCAATATATGGGTGTCAGATCATCAGCTGTTTCCGCCCCTAGTTGGGTGGCTCTGCCCTCTGCTGTGCATATTGTGTTTGGCTCAGCCTACAGTTCGTTCAGGAAAGTTTCCCGTCCAAGTAATGGGGCTCCCATAATCCCTTGAAGTTTCACACAAGATCCCCAGGGAGGAGAATATTAGCTGCTCTGACCATTTTTCTTCTCGTTGCTTTGTCACAAGCTGTTGCAAACAGTCCTTCCTGTAGGACACTGATGTATATGGGTGAAGAGAGCACAGTGGAAAAGGAGAGGGAAAGTATCGTAGGAGCTGGCCTTGCAGTTCCCAAGAGCTCCGTCTCAGAGTCCCTTCTTCTTCCCGGCGTCCATTCATACTGGCCTGCTGCCGTCGCCTCCTTCTTGTGTGTGGTCTCACCACAAGACAGAGCCATTTATTACGAACTGCATGCCTGCCTTGGTGAGCGCTGTTATGATAAGGCATAGTTAACTTCTTCTTTACCCCCCAGGAAAGTGTACTGATAATTTATAAAATATGACACAGTTCTCGGGCGTATTCCTTTGCAGTGATATGAGAAGGGGGCTGAACGGAGGTTGAGAGTGCAAATGGTTTTTTAAAAATGGTTAATATATTGTTGTTGCTGTTGTTTTGTTTTAAAGTTGAGCGAGAGTTTACATAGCTTAACTCCCTCTCCACCCCTTCGCTCTTAAGATGCCTGCCATCTATTTTCAGCCTGTCAGTTCCAGGAATGCTTGTCAGCTGCCAGACACAATCACTTGTAATGTTGGTTGCTTAAGAACACCCTCCTGATCCTTGTAAATATTTGCTTAGCATGGTGGATTGGGCCCTGGCAGCCAGTTGTGGTGCAGTTGGGTCATTATAAATTCCAGACTTGCAAAGATCGAGTTCCCCAAACATTTCCAGTTTTTCCTTCCTTTCATTTAGTTCTGGGTTGTAGTAGTAGTAGTAATGTACCCCATCCATCTGGCTGGGTTTCCCCAACCACTCTGGGCAGCTTCCAACACATGTAAAAACGTAATAAAACATCAAACATTAAAACTTTCCCAATACAGGGCTGCCTTCGGATGTCTTCTAAAACTCAGTTGTTTATTTCCTTGACATCTGATGGGACGGAGTTCCACAGGGAGGGTGCCACTGCTGAGAAGGCCCTCTGCCTGGTTCCCTGTAGCCTCACTTCTCGCAGTGAGGGAACTGCCAGAAGGCCCTCAGAGCTGTACCTCAGTGTCCGGGCTGAACGGTGGGAGTGGAGACGCTCCTTCAGATATACAGGGCCAAAGCTGTTTAGGACTTTAAAGGTCAGCACCAACACTTTGAATTGTGCTCTGAAATGTATTGGGAGCCAATGTAGATCTTTTAGGACCAGTGTCGGTGGCCACTCCCAGTCACCAGTCTAGCTGTCACATTCTGGATTAGTTGTAGTTTCCAGGTCCCCTTCAAAGGTAGCCCCACCTAGAGCGCATTGCAGTAGTCCAAGCGGGAGATATGCACCACTCACGGAGGGAGGGAGGGAGAGAGGGAGGGAGGGTGGGTTTTGGCTGGCGTGCCAGATGGAGCTGGTAGACAGCCACCCTGGACACAGGTCATAGTCTCAAATCTGTGTTTCTGTCTGAGTATACATACAACTCTTGATTCAGAATTTTGTGGGCACTTTAGAACTTTTGCATCTGCAAGTGAGCAGTGGATTGGGCAAATACATTGAAAGGCCAGTAATGAGCATGTCACTGGATTTGTGTATTTCTCAACATTTCTCTCCTGCCTTTCTCCTGTCATGGAACCCAAGGCAGCATACATGTGTTTCCCATGTGGTCTCTCATCCAGCCCATGACCAGACCCATATCTGCTTAGCCCCAGCAGACCATATTCTGGGATCATGTGTGCTTTTCTTCAGCTGTTGCCTGTTGTCTTTTCTTAATTGTGAGATGTTAACATTAATCTCATGTTATGAGAACTTTTAGTATAGAAACTAGATTGAAGCTGCATTTGTATAAACCACATTGTGGCGTTTGCCCTCCTAGGTGTGTGATATCATACTGGGTTCATAAGGAACGGGTTAACTAAGTGTAAAATGACTAACCAATAGGAACCCAAGGGGAGGAGTTAGAGTTGTTAAGAAGTCAGTCTGGAGTTAGAGAAGAGAGAGAGAGGATAAGTCTGTGGGTTGAGTTAGTCTGATGTGAGAGAGGGAGAGAATCTGTTAAGAGGAGTCAGTCAAACAGTTGAGATAATCAGTCAGAAGGTATTAGGAAGGTTTAGGCCGGTAAAGAAACTAAAGTTAAGAAACTGACAATAATTTTATCTGAGAAACCATAAACTTGTTAACGCTTATAAACTAAACTTGTTTATTTGGTTCAATTTTAATAACTGTCTGGACTCAGTGTGTACCCGAGAGTAACGGGTTGGTGGCACCGGGGAAGTGAGCACAGTGGTGGAACAGGGATCAATAGACCGTCAATGTCCGGGGACCCTGTGTGATCGCCACACACATTTCCTTTGCTTGCTGTGGCACCTTGAAAGGAAACACAGCTGCTTTTACCCCAAATCAGCCCTGATGGAGAACCGTTTGCAGAGCAGAGAATGTAGTTGCAACCTCGGCCTGCTAATCATCATGTTGAGCTTGTGTCTGTGTGTGTTTTAATGTGAGAAACAGAGAGTGGGAAGTTTCCAAACTGTATCTCGCCCTCATCAGCGAGTATTATGGGGTGTGTTTCTCTGGCGTTGTGTTTCCCATGCTCCTGCCATTCATAAATAATTTCTCATGAAACCCTCCTGTTTACCCTGCTCGATAAAACCAGATTATGGTCAACGGCTACAGAGACCGTGAAATAAGAGAAAGGGCCTCGCATCGGAATATGCCGCCGCATTTGTCACTGGCAGTATTATATGTAACCCAAAGAGACCACATTCTTCTCCCCAAGTAGCACTGAGAGGCAGCTCAGGTTCCCTGAATGTCAGCCGCTCTCGGCGACTGTGGGAAGGGTCCCTTTCACTCACGCTGCCCATTGTTTTTCCTCCTCTCTGAAGAAAACCTGCTCAGATGTGCTGTTTTATTTCTTGGTGAGACTCTTGAGGGGGAAAGGAAGATCCTACAACCCTGGTTCTTTCCTTTGGCCATATCTCTGGAAAACCGGCGTTTTCCAGAATACTGCCAAAGGAGCCACAGCACAGGGTTCATACCCTACCAGTATATCTTATTGTGGCCAGGGTAGCAGGGTGGAAGAGGAAGTTGTCATAGTTAGATTTTGTACATTAAAGAAAATAGACTAGAGAATTGGAAGAGCTCTTCTGGCTTCGAAGGCCTGTCTAGTCTGCCATTCTGTTCTGTACTCAGAGACATGGAGAGAGGATGTAGTCATCAAAGCTAGTAACCACTGAAAGCCTTATGAAGCCCATGGATTTGTCTAATCCTCTTTTAAAGTAATCCATGTCGATAGCCATCCCTCTATCCTGTAGTAGCAAATTCCATTGTTTTTCAGAGCGCAAAGACGTTCTTTCATGTGGATAAGGCAGGGCATCCATTTATAAATAAACATAATAAATACAAATGAGAGAGAGAGAGAGAGAGAAAGAAAGCAGAGTTGGCCTCCTCCCACCAAACTCTGAATTCGTCTGTCAAAAGTCTGGGATGTGCCACTTTATTTCTCAAATCTGTTGGCATAGCATGAGCCACTGTTTCTCCTGTTCTCCTGGGGAGAGAGAGAAGAGTGAGGGGATAGATCCAGTTGGCTTCTTCCTGCATGCGAAGCTGGAAGAACCCCCCATCATGCGACTTCTGCGTATGTTATATGCTTTGTGGATACCTTTGCAAATCATGTGATAAGAGTGGTGTGGACATTTGAGGTGGGTTCTTGGGAAAGGAAACCCCTGTTGCTTGAATAGCTTGGCAGCCCATGCTTGCCCCAGTCCTAGGAGCTGCTGTTACCATCTTCCTCTCGCCCACGGCTAAGAAGCTTTCCTTGGGCATGAGAAATGGAGGTGGTGGTGTTAGTATTCCTCAGTTACTTTTCTTGATAGAGACTTAAGACTGCAAATGCTTATCCTTCCCACTGGCAATTCTCAGACCTTTATGTTCTTCTTCTTTCTAAAAGTTGCTGTTAATAAGGATCTATGGGTCAAAGGGGATCTGAGAAAACAGCAGAAACCAAACCCATGTGCAGGGTGAATGCAGGACACAATCTAGCCAAGATTAAGCTCTCCTAAGTCCCCATTGGGACCTTCCCAGTGGGAGAGACTGTGGCTGCAGATTCTGTGCAAGCTTCGCTTTCTGAGCAGCTCCTGTTGAACTCACTGAGTCTCACCTAAGCATGTGTAGGATTGGCTGCACACACTGCACTTAAGCATCAGACTAAAATCAGGGATGTAGGAAGCACTGAACTTCAGCTAGATTTGGTTGGCATCCGTCTGTCTCAGGAGACAACGGAGGAGTGTGCCTTTGGGGTTGAAGTCAAACTGTTGGGAGTTACAATGCCTGCTGTATCTGTAGAGACTGATACGGGAGAGACATGTTTTGTTGCAGCTGGGGAAGACGAAGGCATCTAGTGGTGCTGATGGAGGTGTACCATGGCTTTCCTTCTTCCTATGCTCCTCTCAGTGGTTGTTCCTTCTCTGGTCCTATAATTGTAGAGTTCTCAAGAAGGCCATAACCTGATGTGGTCCTTTCCCAATGACTGGGACATTCATCTGCCTTTGAAGAACACATCCAGACACCTGGACTCTATAAATTCCATAATTGCAATGTCCATAAACAAAATGACTTTTCTCTCCCCGACCCCCAGATCCTTAGAATTTGCACAAGATACACGCCCGAACAAGACACGATGACGTTTTCCGACGGCCTTACACTGAACCGAACTCAGATGCATAACGCTGGATTTGGTCCCTTGACGGATCTTGTGTTCACATTTGCCAATCAGCTCCTGCCCTTGGAAATGGACGACACGGAAACTGGCCTGCTCAGTGCCATCTGCTTAATCTGTGGCGGTATGTCTTGCTTTGTCATTTGATATGCTGGAATGAGCACAGGACAGAGAAGAAGTTGGGTTCGACAAGTGCTAGTATCTTCAGGGTTTACTAGAATTCATGGAAATGAAAAGTTGTTTCCAAGGAGACGCTTCTACTGAACTTGCCTAGGTCAGTGTTCTTCAACCTTGGGCCCCAGATGTCGCTACACTACAACTTCCATCATCCCTGACCATTGGCTAACCTGGCTTGGATGATGGGTGTTGTAGTCCAGTATCTGGGGACCCAAGGTTGAGGAACACGGCTTTTTGAGGGGAAATAGTGGTGTGGGGAGGGGGGAATGACACTATATGGTGTCATGGTGTATCACCAGGACAAATGAGAATGCAGACCATATGACAAAATGGGAGCCGACATAGTCAGAAATTGCCCTGTTGTCTCAGCTGCAGTCATGACAAAACAGGCTGCAGAAAAAGGGATGAAATCGCCCCTTCCCTATGAACTCCATGTGGATCTTTATTCCTCATATCACTGGTTATCTGTAATGATTAAAGTTTTGAAGAAATATTCTAACATGGAACTAGTTGGAAGTCATTCCCCCCCCTTTTTCTTCTTCTTTTTTGGTATTATTTTTTGTTCTTTCCCCTTTTTTAGGAGAATATAATGCATTATATTTTTGATTGCAGTTTATGTTATGTTTACATCCTTGTAATTTTGTTTTTGTATTTTATTCCGTTTTTGTATTATTTGTTCATTTTATTTTATGCTTGTTGTATGATGTATAAATAAATATTATTATTATTTTTTAAATAGCCCCTTCCCTGGATTTGGGGCTGCTGAGAAGGCAGACGTTTGAACTTTTCTTTCAGTCTTCCATTTCTGGACTACACCTCTGCCAAGGGATTTTGAAGCTATTCCTAATGTATAGATATCACGTGCAAATATCTATGCAGCAGTGTCTCAGCATCAAATCCTATGTACATTACAGATAAACCATTGTAGGGTTGAGTGAACCACAATTTTTTTCACAAATCCTGTATTTTTTAATCGCTCAAGACTCTTACAGATGTTTCATCTAAACAGGACAGTCCAAATTCACCTCACAGGTTCCTTTAGGCAAAATCTGGAGGCAAATGTATTAAACAGGAAGCACTAGTGACATGCCTCAGATTTATTTATTTTTAACTCATTGGCTCTTAGTTAACTCAGTGTTGTGCTGACACCTACTGGCACACAGGGGTAATAGCATTGCACTCCGATTGAGAGGTGAAATGGCCAGAAAGTATCCCGTAGAAAACTAAAACTTTTTGAGTTGGATTTCATTTTACAAATTCAAAATGAGTATAGTTATACCTTATTATTGGTCTCTTAAGTAAACACAAATATATAGTTAGTTATGGCAGTGCAATTGTCTTTGCTTAGAGCCTTAGAGAGGAACAGGAACTGTTTTTCCAGACTTGTTAAATAGATTGCCAGTTTGTTCAGGAAAAGTCCAGAAGTGTCATCATGCTAGCTTGGAACTGGGCCATGGAAAGCAAAGAATTTGCAACAGGCAGAATTTGGTCATGTTAATTTGAATGCCGACACTAAAGTTTTGCTGTTCGCTGTTTTTCACCACTTGTAATATTTGTGTTTTCTCCAGACCGCCAGGACCTCGAAGAACCAGCTAAGATAGATGAACTACAGGAGCCATTGTTGGAGGCTCTCAAAATATACATCAGAAAAAGAAGACCCAACAAGCCTCATATGTTTCCAAAGATCTTAATGAAAATCACAGATCTACGCAGTATCAGTGCAAAAGGTAAGCTAGATTCCTATGGAATAATGACTCTTGCTTGGTAGGGAAACATTTATGCTCTGATCCCCAAATGGAATTTATCTAGAGTCCTGTGCCCAGCTATTGAGTCATGTGACCAAACCATGGACGAACTTGATTTGCCATGCCGTTCGAGCGGTGATGGGCTTGACCCATGGCTGCTTTCAGTGCAGAGGGGCGTACGCAAACCCCAGCACTATGCACACACATACCTATCCCCAAGAACAGCCCCTCTAAATGTAGAAGCACCTTCTTGAAGAAAACCTTCCAAGTGATTCTAGCGCACCATTATTTCTGATTATTTTTTTCACTGCAGTCATGCCCTGATTTGCCAAAGTGCAGCTAAATAAACTCACAGTTCAGCACATATTTATGTGGACCAGAAGCGGTGCATGACTGATTGACACATTTTCCTGGCAACAAAGCTCTGATGCGTGGGATCAAGGAAGCAGACCTACAAAGTTTCTAAAATCTATTCATTCAGAGTTGTCCTTTGACTTTTGTGGCTTCCATGCCGTTGAACTGTATATACTCATGCAATCATCCTATTTGATAGAGGCTACAATGGTTTATTATACCGAATTATTACAGAGAGCTTTATGCTAGCAGTATATATATATTTAGCACTGTATTAAGCTAAGAAAGTTTTCCATGAATTTCTAACAGTCATTTTATATTATTATACTTTATTGCAGGGGAATGAATTCCTAACACCTGGCAGCTGCCTGTGTGTGTTTGTTTTCCAGGCAAACCCTGCCTGTTCCTCTCTGGTTTTACAAGAAATGGGCCCCCTTTGATATGAAAGCTGCCTTGAGTGCCTAAATGTCAGAGAAATAAATGCAACATAGTTTATTCACCAAAGAGATCATGGCTGTTTAATGTGTCCGCAGTGTTACGGCCTCCTTTCTTTGGAGTTTTCCTCCTTCCGCAGCAGTTCCTTGGAGATGCCTTAAGTGTATAAACTCGGATAACCTTGTATATAAGGACAGTCTCTAGACAGCATGGTTACATCCAAATTCATTATGTCCATGATGAAACATCCCTTCTGCTAAATTGCAGTATTCACCATTTCCCAAAAATCCGTATATGTTAATCACCAATAATAATTATTTTGCCATTACGACTTAACCAATTTTCCCGTTTTGCTTAGCCTCAGGTGAGCAGCCCTCCCATTTATCAATGCATTATTTCCTGCTTGGCAGGGGGTTGGACTCGATGGCCCTTGTGGTCTCTTCCAACTCTATGATTCTATGATTCTATGATTCTATTATAGCCACAACCCAACAGTGTTTGTCAATTAGTATAGACAACTCTAACTTTTCATAAGGTTGTGGTTAGAAATTATTCGCTCTGAACTTGGTGTCCTCACATGCTTATCAAATTGAAAATGGTAACGTGTTTAAAGGTCTTCGCTTACTTGTAAATGTTTCCAGTTATGTTTCAGCTTTGGAACCTGCTGAGACATATGTGAAAACATAACCCACCAATTGCAGAGAGAGGCTGTTTTCACTCTCTCTATGACACTATAATTCCACTTTCACGTTAGGCAGAATTGATTAAAAGCAGCCTACTGATTCATTAGTTTTGTTAGTAAACCAATTTATAAGAGGAAGTTGGGGGTGGTTATTTTATTTCTGGCAGATAATTGATCTTTCAGCCTCCTCCAGTACTCTCCACTACTGTTTGTCCTGAAGCATTGAAGATACAGAAATCGGAGATAAATCGAATGAGTTTTGACTTTCCTTCCTGCCATTCTATAGCTGTTGCTCACATCTTCCATGCAGAGAAGTGCATGGAGAAAAATAGGAGCAATTGCTTTGAAATGTCTAGGGATGGGAAGGCCTGGAAAAAAGGGTGGGGGGACAGGTTTTTTGCAGGGGTTTTCCGTAAAAATTGAAAAAAAGTTTGATATCATTTGAATATTCCACACACACTCCTCCCCCCCATTTTTCGGGGGGGGGGATGGCTTTGGGGGGAAACAGGGAGTGAGGGACTGGTTTTTTCCTAGGCCTTCACATCTCTATTTGCACCTATGGCTTTTAACACATTTAGGGTGGAATACTAGGACTACTTACTGTATGATTACCACTTGAAGCAGCCCTGTGTTCCTTTGTAACCTGTCCATGCAGTCAGCCAAGTATTATTGTGCTTCTGAATCTTTGGTTAAACGTTTAAGTCTTAACCTAGACTCTTTGTTGCTGCTGCAGTGGACTAACAAATTTATTTTGGCTCGACACTGTCATGGACTCATACCTGATTCATCAGACGCACAAAATGAAATCTTAGCTGGCAGATATTTAAAGGTGAAAATTCTAAGGGGGTAGTTGAATGGAAATAAAATGCAAAAATTAAGCAATAGTGACAAGAGCTTAAGTATTTTAAACGTGCACCCCTTTATAGTAGCAGATTGGTTATAATTGCTGATGTATTAATATATTTAATGGGGGAGGGAACCATTCACAAGAATCAGTCATAGATAGCACTGCTATAATAACCTGGCACTGGTAAGCTGAATAACTCATGTAGCATGATAAAAAATATTTGGGCACCCAAGAAGCAGAGGCCTACAGTAGCCTGCTGCGCTATGGGGCTGATGATTACAAAATTGGGGTTCCCCTGACATGTAAGAGTTTTTTGTTTTTAAAGTGACCCCTGAAGTAAGTGACCTGTGACTCCACTCTTAGTATAGTCTATTATGGCATGAAAAGGATGTTCTTCAGCAGCTTTGAACATGAAGCAGGTGCTTCTACCTGGGCAAACGTTGCTTCTGAGCACTTTCTTGTGCATACACAGAACTGGCTCTTGGTGCTCTCAAGCCTCTCTTCCGCCTTAAATAGAGGCTAATCCTAGTCTCTGGGTTTCCTGTCCCCTGAAAGCTGTGCATTTTACTTTAAAGAAACCTGACTTGATAAATTTAAATCTTGTTTTTCGTCTTTTTTAAAAAGGTGCTGAACGTGTTATTACATTGAAAATGGAAATCCCTGGCTCTATGCCGCCTCTCATCCAAGAAATGTTGGAAAACTCAGAAGGACACGAACCACTGACCCCAAGCTCAACCGGGACCACAGCAGAGCACAGTCCTAGCATCTCCCCAAGTTCCGTGGACAACAGCAGTGTGAGTCAATCCCCACTGGTGCAATAAGACGTTCTCCAGCGACATTCCTAACATTTTATAGACAGGGATGAGACGCAAGAATAGTCTTTGCTGCTGCTCATTTTCTGGACTTATATATAAACACACTAAAACCCAACAAGGACCAAGAACTTTTCATGTGTACCCGTATTATATGTGTACACACACACACACACACACACACACACACACACACATATACCCAAACAGATGCCTTGCAGCTTAACTTGAAACCATAAACTTTTGAAATGCTAAATGAACTAGTTCATGAAATAATAAACTAGTTAAGCTTCAATTGTTTCTGCTGGAAATCCAAGATTGTACGGTGACAAGACAGATCTCAAACAAGAGGTTAAAATTATGGTTTTTACCCATTTCTGATGACTTTGTACATAAACAAAATATATGGGCCTGTACTTTCTCGACTGGATGTTTGGTGCTTTCCTTTTCTCTTGCGTACATGAAATGACCCAGACATCATGCTTACGAAATGGACCGCTTACATGTCCAGGTGAAAAAAAGTTCTAAGAGAGACATTCTAATTTAGTTAGGATGAAAACTTGTCTTTGCTCTTTTTTTTAATGGCCTCAGTTTGTATTTCTTTCTTTCCCAGTAAAAGGAGACAAAGAAATTTGCTGCACTACCAGAAGGAACTTCTGTATACATGTAACTGCCAGACCAGTTATTTGGATGTAATTTGTTTTACTGTTAATGTCACTTTAAAATTTACAAGGGGGTTTGTTACTTGGCTGACTTCTCTGCATTTAAAAATAAATACTAAATTTTTAACTTCAGTTATAGCCTTCAAGGCAGAAACACTTTCCAGTGTTAATGTTTTTGTTTTTGTTTCTCTTGTTCACAAGCTGTTAGGGGGAAATTTGTGGGCTAATAATGACCAGGCATACTCACTACCTCTGAATTGGTGACACTAGTGAAAACAAATATGGAGAAACTGTCCCCCCCCACCAGCCCCACAGTCCTCCTCTGGTAACAAGGGGCTGTCACTAGAATACCCAAAAGCAGAGATGAGAATCTGCCTCTTTGACTTTGTTAATCACCATAAAACAGAGTGGAAAATGTGGTAGCGTGGTTACAATTTTTAAGTGTCAGTTTCTTAGGTTTCATTTTAAAGCACTAGTGAATTTTTTTTATATATTCTAGCAAGTCTGTGATGTACTTTCACTGGCTCTGTTTGTACATTGAGATTGTTTAACAATGCTTTCTATGTTCATATACTGTTTACCTTTTTCCATGGAATCTCCTGGCAAAGAATAAAATATATTTATTTTATACCTGTGGTCAAAAGCAGTGTCTTTTTAGTCCAAACTCCCAAACGCAAGGAAATGGTTTTTATAATTTTTTTTTTAATGTTTAAACTTCATTTCAAAAAGCAGGTTTGCAGTTTGCAACCATGACAGTTAAAATGTGTGCTTTTGCACAGCTCCCTAGAACATTTCTACAAGCCGGTCAGACAAATACATGACATTTCAATGAGTAAAAAAGAGCATAAAACTGTCGGTGTAAGAACAAAATGTTAAAATGCCTACGCACAATAAGAAAAAACCATCAATTACATCATCACATAAAATAAGTCAAATGTACAAAAAGTCTGCGACAAAAAGGGACAAAAGGACAACATAAGATATTTGTTGGAAGTTTGTGTGCTCTTTGGGCACTTAATTAAACATCACAAAATCGTCATCTTCATCAGACTCTGCAAAATATTTCACTTCTTTTCTCGCCCGTCCAGTCCGCGGCCTGGAGGCTGCTTCAGAGGCAAACTCTGAGGGGAAGATGTCTACATCTGAGTCCTGATCAAAGGAGGCTTTCTTCGGTTTCTGTTTGATAAGGATTTTTATTTATTTTTTTACAGTTAGTGAAGACCACACGTGAAGTGTTCTTTTAACATTGATTTGATACTTTAACTGTTATCTAAAATCCCTGCTTAAGCAACCAAAATCTTCAACATACATGTGCTTGTAGTCTAGGAGTACTCCTGGTTTCTCAAAGCGGTTTCTGTGACTTAGCTCAGTTTGCCAGCTACAGCAATTCCTGCACTGCAATAGTCTGGCCTAGTTGTCTATGCTCCTGCTGGCCTAGTTGTCTATGCTCCTGCCTGGACTACTGTAATGGACTCTACATAGACATTATCTCGAAAACTGCATGTTGCAGCTACTGCAGAATAATAATAATAATTTATTACATATCCCGCCCATCTGGCTGGGTTTCCCCAACAAGAGATTAAAAATATATTAAAACATCAGTCATTAAAAACTTCCCTAAACAGGGCTGCCTTCAGATGTCTTCTAAAAGTCAGATAGTTGTTTATTTCCTTGACATCTGATGGGAGGGCCTTCCACAGGGCAGGTGCCACTACCGAGAAGGCCCTCTGCCTGGCTCCCTGTAACCTCACTTCTTGCAGTGAGGGAACCGCCAGAAGGCACTCAGAGCTGGACCTCAGTGTCTGGGCTGAACGATGGGGGTGAAGACGCTCCTTCAAGTATACTGGGCCAGGCCGTTTAGGGCTTTAAAGGTCAGCACCAACACTTTGAATTGTGCTCGGAAATCTACTAGGAGCCAATGTAGGTATTTCAAGAATATGTCTGCTAGGCTGGTAAATGGAGCAGCTTGATGAGACACATGTGTCTCCACTTCTGAGAGCGTTGCATTGTCTGCCAGTGAGCTACCAGGCCCAATTCAAGGTGTTAGTACTAGCATATGAAGTCATAAACAGTTTGAGACACAAGCACCTAAGAGCACATCCCATATCTCCAGCTCTACAACCGGCAAGGGAGACCCTGTTGAGGGTGACAATGTCGGCACTGATCCATGAAAGGGTGTTCTCAGTGATAGTTCCTCATTTGTGGAATTGCCCTCCCTGCATCCGTCTTTCTCTTTAGTAATGTTTAGGAAGAACTTTAAACATTCCTGTTGACTCAGGAATTTGATGGCTGAAAGATACTGTCCCTGGAAACCTTAAGGTTATTAGCTGTTAGGGTTTGTAATTGTTTTTAAATGTTTTGTATTCATGTGTTGGTGTTTGCCGGCAGAAATTTTAAATTATTATTATTAACCTTCAAACTGACTATTGTATTCTCCAGGAAGAGAATGTTTATGTTGTTGGAATAGAAATAATACAAGTCAGAATAACTTGTAGGTGCTGAATTTACCTTGCTTGGCGTAGACTTGGGTGTTTTCTTCCCTGGGTTATATTCACCTTCATTTTCAGAACCAGATGCTTTCCTTTTCTTTGCTCCTCTGCCTTTTCCTACTAAAACATTAAAGAAAATATATATGCATAAGTTATTTATATGTTTCAGAATAGCAAACTCGATTATCTCAAAGTTATTTGACAGTTTTAGTAGAATAGATTGAATCAAACAAAATTTTTTGACCTATGATTCTCTACAGGAATTTGTTTATGTGTATTAATAAAACACATTAGAACTGAAATTTCTCTACAATAATAAAGGTATTAAAAAAACTTCCCAATATATGCCCCATACCCGAGCATCAAAAGAAATGCAGCACATTCTTTTGCCTCTTCCAGAAACGTCAGACCCAAATTTCCACAACCCAGACCTTTGTACTAGTGCAAAATGAAAGCTAATGCTACCAATTTAGCAGCTCAGTATCTTCTATCATCATCAAACAAGACATTAATTATGGAACTCAAATTCTATTTCATTTCACAGGAGTCTCATTTTTGGGAATAAAGAACTGCGGAAGAAGTAATCCTTTGATTGCTAAGACAACCAATAGTTACATGAAACTTCCCTTTCTTTTTGCTGACTGATTAAAATTACAATTACTATTGTAAGAGCCAGGACATGCTACCTTTTCATCAAAAAACACTTGCCATTGTTAAATGTTCATTCACCATTTGTGGACTGATTTAATTATTACAATTCACCCCTTAGCACAAGAGTTGGGAACCTTTCAGGTGCCAGATGTTGGTGAACTACAACACCCATCATCCCTAGCCGCTATCCATGTTTGCTAGGGCTGATGGGAGTTGTAGTTCAGCAACATCTGGAAACAAAGGTTCCTCACTCTAGCTTTAGCATAACTTCATGGGCTTTCATGCTCAGTAAGGGCTACGGCCACAGCTGCATTCACAGAAAGAAAGGCATTGTGTCCACTATAAAGTTTATAGTAACAGCACAGTGTGCCTTGCAGTTCACAAACTCTTCCATTTTAAAAAATACTTTCTCTTTAAAGTGTATTTTTGTTCTCTCGGCGACAACAGTTGAACACAAGATTTAAGATCCGGGAGGTGGGTGGCGCTGTGGGTTAAACCACTGAGCCTCTTGGGCTTGCCGATTGGAAGGTCGGCGGTTCGAATCCCTGCGACGGGGTGAGCTCCCGTTGCTCGGTCCCTGCTCCTGCCAACCTAGCAGTTCAAAAGCACGTCAAAGTGCAAGTAGATAAATAGGTACCGCTCCTTCGGGAAAGTAAACAGCGTTTCCGTGCACTGCTCTGGTTTGCCAGAAGCAGCTTAGTCATGCTGGCCACATGACCCGGAAGCTGTATGCCAGCTCCCTCGGCCAATAAAGCAAGATGAGCGCCACAACCCCAGAGTTGGCCACGACTGGACCTAATGGTCAGGGGTCCCTTTACCTTTAAGGGTTTGTGATATTACATAACAGTTTGTGTGAATGTGACTCTCCAGCTAGGCTATCATAAGCCCTGAATCTGATTCCACACCCTGAGTATATTCCGTCCCATCCTCAAAGCAGCTTCGTGCATCCTCTCTTTTCACTGCCAGTGTGAAGAAGAAATGCAAGCCTCCACAAGGGCATGATACGTATGTGTGACCTGCATCCACAGCCAGATAATATACATCTTGCTAAAAGGTCAGTTTCCCTTTCACGTACTAACAGCCAAAACGGGAAAGAAGTGCACCAGCTCATTTGTACTCCACCCCTGCTTCATTCCAATTAAACGGTCTTCATTCCAAGATGAAGAAAAAAAGAATTGTTCTTCCCTACACTCACATTGCTACATCAAGTGAAAATAGGCAACGTCCAAACTGTTACCTTTGGGAGTTGCAGCCTTCTTTGGGATGCCGAATTCAGGTTCTGAATCAGAGTTTATTATTTCCATCTTCTTGGGCTTAGGAGGTCTTTTCGGTTTAGAGGGCACATCCGCCGGCAGTTTTGCTGCTAATTATATTAAGAAATACTACATTACCATGAGTACAACAGATTCTCCCTACAAGTATGCAGAGCCTCTACAAAGAAATGCTCTGTTTCTTCCCTATGCTTTCTTTTGCACTTTTAAAGGCTCAAGAATGACTTGTGATTTTCTGCATGTGTGGGTTCAGATACCCTTTGTGTTCATTGCAGTCCCAGCCACCCACAAACTTACTTGCATTGTTCAACAAGGAGGAAAGGATTAGAAATCTGACTTTGTTAAAGAAGATGGGATGCAGAATCATGTGGGTGGGAAAGAATTACACAGGACTATGTTATCTGGAATATTCCAAAAGTTAATAAAAATGCCCATCTTTCTATGGATCTGTCTTGCTGATTATTTGATATTCTTTCCTGATAACGTCAGTTCAGTCCCATAACTTCTGCAACTGTTCTTTCCAAATCTGAGCAACATATAACTCTGCCCCTATTAGCAATTGACTGTACATCAGTATTTTCTGCTTCTGATTTTATATACAGAAGAGTAATTGCAGTGCTTCTTGAAGTGTTATATTGTGTGTTAAAAACTAAATTCCAGATTTGATTTTTTTTTACACAACTCATATGTAGATGAATTTTGGAAAACAGATGTAGGTATGCTTGATTTATTATAGGAAATATTAGTGAAATTCAGAAATGGGATGCAATACCCTTCTGGTAATATAGACTATCCTTTTAGTCATATACATTATAAGTGTTAATTTGAGTGCCTGGGGTTTTGTTGTGTATTTTGTTATGATTAGCATTACCCCTCTGTGATACTATGGATTTATCTTTTTTAAAAAAATATTAGGGCACTACGGAAGAATTGTGCTAATATTAACAACAACAACAAGAAAAGATGTAGACAAGTTTCTCCTTGATCTTCTTTCTCTTCCCCTTAGCACAGGCAAAGATTACGTAGAATAGGCAGTGGGCGTCTGACTCCCATATCTTGCTTCAGTCTTTCAGTTTCCCATAATCTTAGTTTAGACTGAAGTGGGAGAAGGTGAAGCAGGGCTTTGCGGAGGCAATATATGTGACTCTCTCCACGTACAACTGCTGTACTTTCATAGAGTGAAGGTTCATAGTCCGTAAATCTAGATAGCAGACAGT